TGATAAGTACAGCTGCAATTCCTGGAAAATCCCAGGACTTCTGGCCAGGCTGGACGAGAACTTCTATTCCACTTTTTAAATCTAAAGTTATTTCTGTCCCCAAAAATATGATTTGTTAATTTTGGCAAATGACCTGTAATGCATTTCTCTCCCATTAATATCCATTAAAATAAAATGCTATGGCAATTCCCAGAATGGAATGGGGCATGTTAGATATGTGCCTTTCGTACAGATATTAAAAATGCAGAGCCTGTAGAAAAGAGAGGGGGCAATTCTAAATCAGGACTGACATGACTGAATAAAAGGGGAGACAAACCCTTTTTTATATATATCTTGTGGAGGATGTATCTCTTAGTTTCACTTTCTCTCATATTCCCATTCTCCCCCCCAAAAAAAATCTCAAGGGTTTTCCATCCCAAATATGAAGAAATTTGCACATTTTTGTAAATTCTTATACATTACTGGAACAAAATCCCGACTCATTTGACCCAATTTCTAGTGCTCTTGATGGAGAGCTGTACATCAGTCACCATAAAGCTTTTAGAACTTGGAAAAGTTAATTTGGGACCACATGAAATATTACATTTTGACCATCACTGCCAGCCACTGTTTGTGAGGGGATTCTGGAAGTTACAATCCAAGAAAGTAACTTCTACAAGCTCCTGTGCAATTCAACTACAAGCATGTGCATCAGTGATCTCAACAGTAAGTCATCACACTAGCCAGACACCTACATTTGTCAAGGTGTCTTTTTAAAACATATGAGCATTAGGAAATAAGTGGAAACATGACATTAAGAACTTAAGAATCCACCTCATCTAAATGCATAGTTGATTGGATATGCTCTGGCTTAATGACAAACCTAAATAATATGCCTCATAGAGTTAGAGTTAGGTGGAAAAAAATATTCACACAGTGCTGCATGATGATTTTTCAGATGGTGATCCAATCATTACAGCCTTAAAAGAACACCTGGTGAACACAAGGTTTAAAGTCTAATAGCTTTAGGAAATCTCACCTAGCAGGCAAAGATAATAGGTTAATTTTTATTTGCATTTATGACTTTGATGCAAGTAGAACAAAAATTTGGGATACTTGGCAACAATTTGAGGGGGGGAGCTTCTGAAGTTGGAAAAATGCTATGGTGAACTGTAGCATTTTATGTATATTTATTTGTGTGTTTATAATGTATTTTATAGTGAGTGTGTCTGTATACATTTTTGCTGGCTTAATTAAAAGCTGACATCCCAAACACAGCTGTGACCTAACAGAGGAAACTATCTTTCACAAAGAAGCTTGGTAGAGGACAATGATCCAGATGGTTTTTATATAATTTAAACTCCCTTCATCTCTCTTCTCTCTCTCTCTCTCTCTCTCTCTCTCTCTCTCTCTCTCTGTGTGTGTGTGTGTGTGTGTGTGTGTGTATCTGAACACCCACACACACTTGGTTAGACACAGTTTAGCAGTTTAAAACAAAATACAAAATCCACATAGGAGTGATACCTTTATTGGCTAGCCAAAATGCACAGAAAAAATAGTACAAGCTTTCGTAGCTCCACTGGCTTCTTTGCCAGGAAAAGATGTTTAAATAATCATACAGGAGGAATAAAAAAAGTGACAGTGTTGGAATCACAGACATAAATTTTGTATAGCTGTTGTCCCTGCTGTATTTCAGCTGGTTAGGAAGGCTCTCAGATGTAGACAGAGGTCACACCTTTGTTGTCCATTTTAGCAATTAAAGAAAATGGTAATAGTGGCTTCTAAAAACCAATTGTGTTCTCCTGGGACAGGGAACCTGCAACCCTCAGCTAAACCTCACATATGGCAGCAAAGAAAGAGATAGTGTTTGGAAAAGTTACCTTTGGGGATTAAAACCTTGAGAACAGGCAAGTGGTGGGGTCTTCAGAGATATGTAGTTCCCCCCTCCAAAAAAAAGCAGCTTTACAGCTCTGAAGGATGAGAGCACAGAAAGATATCGAAGAGAGAAAGAGAAAGTGGGCACATTATGGAATACTGAAAACTGCCTGCTTTAGGATCTCACTCTGCCATCACCAGCTGGATTCTTTCATGGGTCAACAAATCTTCATTAGAAAAGGTCATCAATATCACCAAGAGTAATACTTTTAAAGGAATTTTAAACCTGCAGTCCTCTACCCCCTGTCTGTGACTAAGTCCCATTGTAAATGAAACATCTGCTAGGAGAGATGATGGCTCACTGAAATCATCATAGCAGGCCATAGGAAAACCACTCAATAAACCCAAGTCCCTTTATGGGGACTGGTGTAATTTTGGTATAACAAAAGGCCTTATCAGAAATAGTGCACTTTAAATTGAGGCACTGCCCTGGCTCAGTGCTAGGGAATCATGGGAACTATAATTTATTGTGGCACCAGAGCTCTCTGACAGAGAAGGCTCAATGTCTCAGAAAAAAAATACAATTCCCATGATTCCCTAGCACTGAGCCAGGGCAATGCCTCAATTTAAAGTGCACTATTTCTGGCAGTTTGCAAAGGCCCAAACACAGAATTCGTTCATGACAGTTCCATAACATATGCCAGTGCTATTAAATTCTATACTCAAAAACTATGTAGGAATTTCTGTCATATGATAATTTAAAAAACAAACCCAGAAAATGAACTGGTGCAGTAGTATTAATTATGTTAATTTCTTTTTCATATGAAAAACCAGAACCAAAACTTTAACCAGAATGTTTAAACCAGTACCTTTTCCTCCCTAGATTCAATTTAATGTAATACAGAAGTGGTTCCCCTGGGAATTATATTGGGAATAGAATTTTTGCCAGCTCCCTCTCTTTCCCTATGATCATTGCTGAAAGTTTGCATTCTGTAATGGGCACCAGCTGCACTAATGTGTAGCAAGCACAAAGGAAAGCAGAGACAGGAGGGAAGGAGGAGCAAGAAGAGTAAGAAAATGGTAAGCTGTATCAAAGTGTAGCAGGAGCTACACCAAGAGAGAGAATGAGAGGAGGTGAGAGAGGTAGATGGAAAGACAATAAGAAGTGAGATGAGACAGGACAGAAGTGGGTACAGAAATATGAGATGGGAAGGAGGAGAAACAAGAGTGCATAGTGACAGTCTTGATGGAATACAAGTGTCTTCAAAACACAGAAGAACACATAAGCAAAAAAGAAAAAAGGAGTAGCATAAGTAAGGGCCTTTGCAGACTGCTAGAAATAGTGCAGATTGAGGTCACTTTAACTGCCCTGGCTCAGTGCTAGGGAATCATGAGAATTTTATTATTTTTTTCTGAGACATTGAGCGTTCTCTGTCAGAGAGCTCTGGTGCCACAATAAACTACAGTTCCCATGATTCCCTAGCACTGAGTCAGGGCAGTTAAAGTGGACAACCAACTGTAGGGGGCAGTGCTCTCCATTACTAAGTCAAAGTACCAGCATTATCAAAGACTACTCTGTGATCGCGTGGCCAGCATAACTGCAGAATGCTGTTACCTTCCCACTGAAGTGGTACCTATTTACCTACTTGCATTTTTACATGCTTTCAAACTGCTAGGTTGTCAGAAGCTGAGACTAGTGATGGGAGCTCACTCTGTCACGTGGCACCTGAGCCCCAAACTGCCGACCTGCTGATCTTACAGTCACCAGAGTCAGCACTTTAACCAATAAACCACTGTGTTCCTTTGAGTAATATAAAGGAGTATAAATAAATAATCAATAAAGCTAAAGGAGGAGTATAAAGAGCCAGCACAGTGTAGTGGTTTGAGTGCTGGACTACAGCTCTGGAGATCAGGGTTTGATTCCTCACTTGGCCATAGAAGCCCACTGGCTGCCCTTGGTTGAGTCATGCACTCTCAGCGCTAGAAAATCCTGTGATAGGTTTGCCTTAGGATTGCCATAAATCAGAAATGATTTGAAGGCCCACTACAACAACATAAGCGGACCAGGACACCAGAAAGTGATAGTAATAGTGTCACTGATAGCTGCCAAAAATATGGGAAACTTTTTGTGAGGTTAAGATCAAAAGATCATGGCAACTAGAGAAAAAGGCTGGGGAGCAAGAGAGAAAAGGTTGAAGGCAGAGTTTAAAGATAGTCTGTGCAAAAGACAACAAAATTAATTTTGAAAAGGATCATTTTGTGGGAGATATAAGTCATTCTCACCTTTCTAATAAATGCATTTTGGGACAGAAATAAAGAATATTATATTGGTGTAGTGGTTTAAGCATTGGACTATTACTCTCTGGATTTCTTTTGAGTTAATACAGCAAAAAAGGGTGCATAGGTGTTTTGCATATGTTGTGAATGTGTAGTCCCCTTCTTTCCAAAATTATTTTAGGATTTTTTTTTCTTTTTCATTTTTCAGACAGTACATTCTGAGAAATTGAAGGAACATACAGAAATCTTTGAAAAAAGAAGGGAACAGAGAAGAGGAAATAAACAGCAAGACAAACTGGTAATGTTTTTAGTGCAGTATTGTGAGGTAAATTTAAATTCCAGGTTAGCATTAATATGATTAAAATAAATATCCCTTTTCACTGCAAACATAATCAACACAAGATGTTTTAGTTTTTTAATGTAAATGTACCTTAGTGGCAGTTTTTCATTAACTGGCATATCTCTTGTGATATGAATACCATCATCAGTCCCCCCAGTAATATCCTGGCCAGTATTGCTAATTAAGATATTTGATTTCCCATTGGGGGGGAATGCAGGCATATGATGAAAACAACCAGCCTTTACTACAATGGCTGATTGGTGTACTTGCAATCATGCCCTCAGGAAAATCTCTGATGAACAAAAAGAACTATGGTAATCATGCTCAGTTGTATGCTTGCTTCTTCAATAGTAAAAATATATCGCATAGATATATTGTTATTGTGTTCCTTCAAGTCATTTCTGACATGGCAACCTTAAAGTGAACCTATCACAGGGTGTTCCTGGCAAGATTTGTTTGGAGGGGGCTTGCCATTGCCTTCTGTGGATGCGAAAGTGTGACTTGCCCAAGGTCACCAAGTGGGTTTACATGACAAAGCAGGGATTCAAACCCTGGTCTCCAGAGTCATACTCCAATACTCAAATCACTACACCACTCTGGCTTCCTACATACATATACATAGACATATGGAAACTATATAAATGATACTCAATCAAACTCTTGTGTTAATGAAGCTAATACAAAATGCAGCCATCAGTGTGATATAAGAGTGATCAGTGTTCTGATCTAATATACTCTGAGTCATGATCTTGTTCTACTGGGGTGGGAGTCATACCAATGGTGAGGAATGCTGTGAGTTGCAGCCCAACATCTAGAGTGCCACATGATTTTCACCTATATGGCTAAGGATGACAAGGCAGATTTGTCACAGTGTGTGTTTGAACATACACACAGCTGGAAACAGTTTATGATACAGAAGTCACTGAATCTGCTGAGAGGTTTAACATCTGATGAGGCCAGAGGCTAGTCTGGGTGGAAGCTGTGAGGGGGTACTTCAAATATTCTTATGCCACCATGCAATCAGCCAATCATTTGGAAAGCAAGGAACCCATAACAATCTTTAAATAAATCTGCCAGCCAATTCTTCAGCAGCTCAGCCAATGACCTGGAATAGAAAAGTGAATTTCCTCAATAAAAAATGTTAAGGCCATGGGCAAGTAGCTGCTTTATATCTTCCAAGTGGCACTAGTTTGATTATCTCAAGTCCTCTGATGTACCCAGCCAGGAGGAGTCTTGATGTCTGGGTGAATGTGCCACTAGGAAACATCTCTAGTTTCCTTTACTGCCAAGCAGTTGTAGTGGCACAAGAAGAAGAGATTTAGTGTTCACATACTTCCAAATCAGTGCTTAAATTACGAGAGCAAGAAGGAAGCACAGACAGCTGATCTTTTGATTTCTGAATGGTATGGAGGCATGATTGGTGAACACTGAGGAAGTTAGGTGGTAGAAATTCTACTCCCTTAAGAGACTCTTTTTTCAACCACCTACATCCATGACCAAACACACCAGTCTCTACTTCCATTTAGACTCCCTGGGCAGTGCACACAAGCAAATAAAGAGGAAGTGGATCCTTCAACAATAAATGTCCTCCAGCAAGTAGGAAAAAATCCACTTGAATTAGTATGAAGAAGTTGATTTGCCCAGGATCAACACTAGCTATTTCACCACTTATTGCACCATCTCATTAGCACTGGCATTCTTTTTTCCAGGATAGATTTGGTCTCTAAAAGCTGTCTTGCAAGCAGAAACATAACACTTCACATCCTGCATGTGAATCCTGGCTTGACATGCTACATTTCTTCTTTCAAGCAGCTTTTCAAGGCATAATAAGTAGGAAGTAGTCCATACCCTGTATTTCATGAAAACAAATTTTATTTCAACCGCCTGCAATTGTCTAAAATAAACATTTCTAATAGGGTAAAAACTCTGCCAATGTCTTTGTAAGACATGTTTTGCAACCTTTCAAGATGTATAAAAATAAACCTTCCTCTTCTAGATTTTGCTACACAACTAGGGGGACTATTTTACTCCCTACCACCTGGATCATGGACAAGTGATGCCTATAAAGTCCTACAAGAATAATCACTTGCACAGCACAAAGACAACAGTCCCAGATTAAAAAACAATAAAAAAGAAAGATGTGATCATGAAACCACAACAGCTTGCTACAATATGCTAACCAGAATTTTAATCTCCTGAAGGATTCCTACCAGTTTTTCAAACAACAGAAAAGTTTCCTTTTCTTTCCTTTCCTTTCCTTTCCTTTCCTTTCCTTTCTTCTTCTTCTTCTTCATTTTTAACTACTTAGCAAACTTGGAAATGCAAACAAAAGTCTGTGCCTTTTCTAATAGTGTGTTTAAGAACCATATTTTTGCTTTTGAGGAACCAAGGTATTTGGAGATTTTTGGATTTTTTTTAGAGAGAATTAATCTGTTGGAGGGGAAATGCTGAAGTACATGTAACTGAAACTGATGTTTTGTTCACTTTTGTACAGTATGATGGATTTTATTATCTTGTGTATGGTCTCCTTGCATCTCTGTATCCATACTTGCATCGACATTCTGAACAGCATATTATAGTGAATGAGATATTATAATACGCCCTGGCAACCATAGTATATTTTTTAAAATAAAAATGTTGTTTTAAAATCCTGAAATAATCCCTTAAAATAAATGATATTTCTTTTAACAAAAGACATTTGATAACTTACACCGGTTACTGTCAAGGCTATAATCCAACTCATACTCAAAAATGCTGAACTCTGTGTTGAATTTGTGGTCAAATGTTCTCAAATGTACATGACTAATCACATAATGTTTTTGTTAGGATCACTTCCAACACAACAGCCTGATACTTGTCTCCTAAGTATATGAACACAGCAGAGGGTAAAAACAACAACTATAAAATTGTGTGAGGCTGTCTAAGGCAGGAGTACAAGTGTCATCCCATTTTTCCCCTATGGTATCTCCATCTTCTTGCAGGTGGCTTGTGGCAGTTATCTTCTGGCATTGTCTCTTGTTTCATTTTTTATTTTTCTCATCATAGGATTTTTATGGTAAAATTCTGACTTCAGTCTTTAAGATGTCTATAAGTCTATAAGATGTCAGGGAAAATGCATCCATCCAACCATAACCCAAGTTTATACACCAGCTACTGAGCCAGAAGAAGATAAAACTGAAAGATTCTATGCTGATGTCCAGGAGAAAATTGATCACCCAACAAAACAGGACTTGTTGTGAAGCATAAGTACTCAGAATGCAAAAGTAAGAAACAAAGCGAAGATTGTAGGAAAATTTGACCAGGGATCAAGAAACGACTCAGAAGAGCAATTGGCTGAATTTTATGAAGTCAACAGTTGGTTTATCTCAAGCATTTTATTCAAGCAACCAAAGAGGCAATAGTATGTGGGGACGTTACTTGATGGCCAATTTAGAAATCAGATAGACCACATAACTGGAGGAAAAATGAAGCAGGTCAATTTTATCTGCAAAAACAACACCAGAAGTAGATTGTGACCTTAACCATGAACAGCTAATATCAAAAATTAGAGCAAACCTAAAAAATAACACTAAACCAACTATCATACTAAAACACAACCTGAAGGACATCCCTGTAAGTTAAAAGATAATGTACAATAAATAGATTTGCACTGTTAAGCCTAATTGTCTGGGAGCCAAAATAACTGTGGACTGAAACCAAAGACGTTGTCAGGGAGGAATGCAAAAGACACTAATTGCAGCCACAAAGAAAGAGAAGCCTCAGTGGATGACAGATGGAACTCTACTAACAGTTAAGGACAGACAAGAAGCACAAGTAAAAGGTGACAGAAATACTGTAGGGTCAGAACCCTGAATGCCACTTGTATGCACATACCAAAATTACTACTATAATAACCAATGCAGAGAAATAGTAGATCACAACCAAAAGGAAGACCAAGAGAGTTCTTTCACAGGATCCAAGAAATCAAAAGGAAATTTAAACCAAAAGTGAAGGTGCTATATGACCAGCAGGGAAACACATTATATGACTAACTACTTGACATGCTGGTGTTGAGGTGTGAATGTGATTTTCAGTATCTCTGCCAGACCTCAAGATACTCTTTGAAATCAGGAAGCGGAAGCAGACAGCTCAAGGTGAAGGGTTTATTTACAGAGGCTAAAGAATAGCTATTTACAGGTGCAGAACAGAGTTCCAGGATGAAAGCAAACACTTTCTTCCTCCTAAGCAGCTCACACCAACACAGAGCTATACAAAAACTCTCTGGGATACTCACTAACAAACACCAACTGCATTGACTCTCCATGACTCCACAACTACAGTGACCCACAATTGTTTACATTAGGTTCAGCCTTATATACACTTGGCTGATGCAACCTTATAGTACATGACATTAGGCATTACATCATACATACTGAGTCACAAGTTCAGTCCAATACACAATTAGTGTCTGTCCTCTTCAAGACATTACCAGATGTCCTGGACTTGTCACACAATCCAAACACACATCATGACTGTGCCGTTCTGCAGATGTAATTTCACATCATATTATGGTGACACTACTAGGGCCTATAAGAGGTTGGGTTCAGTCAGTACATCGGTCCCAACTGCAAAGAAAATAATGCTTGGCAAAATGGGAGAGAGGAAAGTCATATTGCAATTGGATACCCTCAGTCAAAGTGGCCACAGACTTGATTTTACAAGACATGAGCAGGGGTGTTGATGACAGGGTAGCTTGAACATCCTTCATTCATAGAGGTGTCATAAGTCAAAGTTGGATTGATGGCAGTTAGTAACAACAACAAATCCCACCCTTCATTGAAGTCAAGATTTCACATGAGTTTCCCCAGTATCATACCAATTTTAGTTCACAACAACCTGTGAGACAGGAGGTTGATTCAGTGCTAGTGAATAAAATGTATACATGAGGTAGAATTTTTAGCAAGCTTTTCCAGTCCTAGACTAACAATTCTTCTCAACCTAGTGCTTTCTAGATATGTTTGACAATAACTCCCATCACCCCCAACCAATATGTCCAATAGCCAACATCTATTTCAGCACATCTGAAGAGTACAAGCATCA